GCTTCTTGTAGAATTTCAATTTAATTGTATTACTATCTGCCCTCAATTTATTATAAGCAGAAATGTTGAGTGATATTAGCAATTCTTACACAAATAGGCATAACTAACACATACATTTTTCTTTCCCAGATTCTACAGAAAATCCTTGGCTGTAGGGCCAGTGAGGTAGCTCTGCAGAGTTAAGTACTTAGACCCTGTACAGAAAGCCACATGTAAGCCTGGCACTCAGACCCCATATACTAGCCACATATGGTAGTGCACATCTGTAAGCCCAGCACTCGTGTAGTGAAATGGAAGATAAGCAAAAGGAGAATGTGCTAATCAAGACCAGTTTTATACCATGGTAGACAAACATTCTACCATCTGAGCTGCATTGCTAGCCCTGGATGGAATTCTTGTTTGTTTGATTCTTGTTTATTTTTCTTTTTTGTATAAGCTTGGCCTTTGCTGTGTGTTTCAAATCCATTTTGATCCTAGTCTATCAGTAGTGTCACTTTCAAACTTAAGATCCTAAGAGTCAGTACTCCTTAAACATACCTGCTCTTTGTATGTCAGGTTACTGCCTGTAATGGGTAACATTGTCTCAGTGCTTTTTTTGATCCCTGCTTGCTACCAAAATGATCTCTTCTCCCCTCCCTACCTTCTGCCATAATAGTCCATATACTTTATGACATCTCTAGATTACTTGCAGTACATAATTCAATGTAAAATACTGTTTAAGGGGTAATGAAGAAGTGTACATTTAGTTTTAATGCATACCTCAGTATATTGCATATCACAGTGCACTTCATTTCTGAACACATCAATATACCTGTCATGGTGTGACTGTCTTCTTTATATAAAACACAAAAACTTCACAGATAAACATTTCTCTTTTCAGAACTATTGTTTAGTTTTTAGTATTTGTTGTTTACACTGTGGTACTGGAGATGAAAGCCAGGGCTTTGTGCATGCTAGGATACCACCAGCCACACACTGGCCCTTACAGCTTTGGGGTATGTGAGTGTGTGTGTATGCGTGTACATATGTATGTGTATATGTGCATAAATAGTAGGCTATGTGCTAGAATTTGTGATTATAATAATTTCATCTGCATATTAAATGTTAGTAGTTGAGATTTCTGTATTCAGACTATTTTTTAGCAACCTCTATGTATTGTCTGGTTTTGTGTATCAGCTTGATACAAGCTAGAGTCCTCAGAAGAGAGGAAGGAACCTCTATGAAATCTACCTGTAAAGCATTTTCTCAATTAGTTAACAATGGTGGAGAGTCCAGTCCATTGTGGGTGGAGCCATCTCTGGGCAGGTGGTCCTTGGTTCTATAAGAAAGCAGACTGGGCAAGCCGGGGGAAGCAAGCCAATAAGTAGCACTCCTCCATGATTTCTACATCAGCTCCTGCCTCAAGAATCCTGCCCTGTTTGAGTCCCTGTCCTGACTTCCTTCAATAATGAACAGCAATGTTGAAGTATAAACTGAGTAAGTCCTTTCCTCCCCAACTTGTTTTTTAGTCATGCTGTTTTCTTTGCAGCAATAGAAACCCTAAGACACTCTACATCCTTTTCTAGTAATACAATGCTAGAAGCAACATAAGCTACAATAATTTTGATGCCTTTTGTATTTCTGCGGACCCAAATTAGATGTTTAAACTTGTCTGCAGTGTTTAACATCTATGGGCTATCATTTTTACCAATTTAAAAGGATCAATATTAATTAAAAGGTTAATTTCTGTTTATGGTTTTCAGTACCTGTATTTGCAGAAACTTTTGCAAACAACCTTTCTCCTTGCAAGTGTTCTTCTCTTTAGTATTTGGCATTCATGTGACTGGTAAACCAGTATTGCTTGTATTGTTAACTGAACTCCAAAGTCTCTATCTTGGAGCTGGTGGATTTGACTATTATAGGTCTTGTGAGTTAGGGAGCACTTCTAGCTCTGTTTTCTAGAAGAGGTGGCTGTGGGATTCTAAAAACTCCATCCTTTCAAGTGCTGGTAGAATTTCCAGTGGGACACCTGCACCTGCTACTGTCTGCTCTTTGAGTGCTGTGAGGTGGGTGTGACTTGTTCCGATTACGCCGTCTCTCCTTTTAAGAGTTCTAGCAGATTATGTCTTTCACTGAAATGGTTCATTTTGTCTAATTAGTCATCAATTTATTTTCCAGTGACTGTCCTTGAAATCAAATCATTTGTCTTCTTTATTTTCCAAAAGTGGTTACTGTGGTAGCTTGAGGCTTAGTTTCCATGTGTATGTGTATGGGTGGGGTATATGCTCTTGAGCACAGGTACCTTCAAAGCCCAAAATTGAGCAGTAAACACTCTTAATCATTGAACATCTGTCAGTGGCCCTTACTTTCCCAGGAACTCACTAATTAACCTGGAACAGCTGTTCTGTAAGCCTCGGGGACCCTCCTGTCTCTGCCTAACTGGTGCTGGGTCGGACAGTCTGAATTCAGACCTTAATGCTTGTGCTTCTTTAACACAGCCTTCTCTTTGAGCCATTTCTCTAACCCTTATTTCCTGTTTGTAGTTTTATGTTGTAGTTTTACTTTTTTTTTACAGTTACTTTGAATTTCATTTCTTTTTCTAGTGTCATAAACTACTCTAAATACAGTTCTTGTTGCCCTTGCTTTTTTGCTTTTTTTTTTTTTTTTTTTTTTTTTGGACACAAGAGTTTCTCTGTGTAGCTTTGGAGCCTGCCTTGGTATGGGCTGTAGACCAGGCTGGCCTCTGACTTACATAGATCCACCTCCCTCTGCCTCCCAAATGCTGGGATTAAACGTGTGTGCCACCATGGCCCGATGTACCTTTGCAAATTTTGACATTTATTTTTATTTAATTCAGAATGTTTTAACATTTCCCTTCAGACTTTGACCCATGTATTGCTTGTAACTATGTTACTAGGCTGGAGGTTTAAGTCAGTGGTAGGTAGACTTGGGTCCTACCCTTAGTCTTATAAGAAAACAAACAAAAAACTGTCTGCCACAGAGCTCATACTTGCCTAGAAATGTGCTGTTACACTAATACTTGGGGTTTTCACAACTGCCTTCTGTGATTCCTAACTTAAGAAGCCAACGCTTGGAACTATTTTTCTGCCTTCCCCTCTCCTCTAACTGCTGAATTTAAATTACCTCTGTTTATCTCTGTCATGAGGATGTGACCCTATTGAAGCAGGACACAGTATTTTAAGCAAATGAGCTTGGTTAAAGGAAATGATATGAAATGAGGCAGCAGCAGCAGAGGAAATAGTTGTGTTGGATAATTAATACAGGAATCGTGCCCCTCCCCGAGTCTTCCAGACTTGGAATGCATGTGCTAACCACACCTTATTTAGCTTTAATTTTGTGTGCCCTCCCCCCACATGGAAAAGAGAGTAAAAGTATTGTTCCTACTCTACCACGTTGCTGTGTTTGTTCATTTATTCACTGCATTACTGTTTATGCATGCTCAACAAGCACTCTACCAAGTCTGCAACCTGGTTGGCCCTGACAAGCAATTTTAATAAATAGAGCAAAGTTGCCATTGAGTTTGCTTTCCCAAAATATCCTTAATATTCAACTGAAACTCTTTGTTTGATCTGAAAGCATAGTTATTAACCAGATTTTATTCCTGGAAGTCCTGTGTGGGAATTTTGTTCTTAACACTGCCATTAAGATAAAGACTGTGAAGGTACCTGTGCTCATCAGCATGTACCCCACCACCCATACACATAAACATGGAAACAACCTCAAGCTACCACAGTAACCACTTTTGGAAAATAAAGAAGACACAAATGATTTGATTTCAAGGACAGTCACTAGAAAATATATTAGTGACTAATTAGACAAAATGAACCATTTCAGTGAAAGATATAATCTACTGGAACTCTTAAAAGGAGAGAAAGGGTAATCGGTTTGGATGGTGTTTTCATTCCATTGACAGATTTAGTTCTCTGTGCAGTATGTATGAGCCCCACCCGGACACTGAACTGCTTCCTACTTTGATGAGGTCCAAGCACAACATCAGCAAGAGTCTTCCTGTGTGGCCTGTAGCAATCAGACCTGCAGGTTATTGATGTGTTTCCATCTAGGGACCATAAGCAAACAAGCTCTGCTATAGAGAGCTACACCCTTCCTGTGAGGGATTGGATTTACTGTGGAACAGATTTCAGAAATAGGTTTCTGACAGTTTCAAGTTGTGTTTATAAAATGTAACAGGCGGGAGAGGTGGTCCTCTCACTTCCACACTCAGTATGTGTACATATCCACTTAAAAAACAAAACACATACCCTGTGGTAAAGCTCGTGTGCATCTCAAATATGATTTTAGGATGAATAAAATCAGTTTTTGAAGAGTGGTGGTATGTTATTGTTCATTAGAAAAATAAAATGTAGCTAGGTGCTAATAGTGCACACCTTTAACCCTAGCACTTAGGAGTCAGAGGCTTGGCCTTCCCTTCCTACCTCCCCCCATTCTTCCTTTCTTCCTCCCTCCCTTCCTCTTTTCTTTCTTTCTTTCTTTCTTTCTTTCTTTCTTTTTTTTTTTTTTTTTTTTTTTTTGGAGACAGGGTCTCACTATGTAGCTCTGGCTGACCTGGAATTTGTTATGTAGACCTGACTGGCCTCCAACTCAGAGATCCCTCTGCTACTGCTGGGACTAAAGGTGTGACCACTTTTGTCTAGCCTTTTCCTTCTTAACAAATGGATGAGTGATTTGTTTGCCTTGCTTTTGTTCTTACCTCCTTTATCCTATGGTTCAACACCCTGTAGATAGGCTACATTGCTCCAGATGCCTGCCATGTTTCTACTCTCAGTGATGGGTGTCTCCGTGTGTCTGTCCTTACTCTGTTGTGAACAGATATCCAAGACATGTTCCAGCAGTAGTGTGCCTATATTGTGGAGGGTCAGCCATGTTATTATGTCTCCCTTCTAGATTTCAGCGTCATAGAGTTCTGACAGCTCAGCCAGCCAAGCATTTAAATAAGTAATTAATTAATGTAATAGTAACCAAAATGTATTTTACCATTCTAGGTTTACCGACAAGACTGTGAAACTTTCGGGATGGTGGTGAAAATGTTGATTGAAAAAGACCCTTCATTAGAAAAATCTATACAGTTTGCATTGAGGCAGAATTTACATGAAATAGGTGAGCGATGTGTTGAGGAACTGAAACATTTCATTACCGAGTATGATAATTCTACTCAAGATTTTGGAGACTCTTTTTAGAAGAATTAGTGCCCAAGTCAAAACTTTTTTTAAAGCTTCTAGATTTTCTTCTCCTTGGATTGTTTAAATCCTTACTATTTTGTGATGAAGAGAAAACTTTATGATAGCTGACCACATTTCTAGTATCAAATAAACATCTACAATAGCTTTTAAAGTATCTCAATTAAAATGTTTTCCCTGTGTGTAGAATATTCAAACCGGTCTTCTTACACCTCCTCCCTCCCCAAAATAATGTTCGATTAATTTTTTAGTGTTTGAAAAAGCAGTTCTGGAGAGCAGTTCTCTGTACTTAACACATGTTCAATAGTCTTCCATGGTATGTTGGTCTCGGGAGTATAATTTGTAGTTACAGATCATTCCAGGTTGTATCTCATGGCACTATTAGCATTTTGCATTGAGTTTGACTTTGCTTCTTGCTTTTCTTCAACTTTGTAACTTGGCAACATCAAAATATGCTGTGTTAATGAATTAGAACTTTGCTATGTTAAGATTTGGTTTTGAGAAGAATTCTTATTTAACATAAGAAAGAAGCACTTAAATCTATAAAGGACACATAAGAACAAAACCTTCTTCTCAAGTCAGTGAACTTGGTGCATCTCTCCTATGAGGTGAAACTCCTGACTGCTCTCTCTGAACAACATTATAGATAAGACTGATAGGAGGGGTAATCTGAGATGCATTTTAAATTGATTTCTCAGAAACCCTCCTAGTGGCTGTACTAAAATTTAAGACTATTCAAGAACCTAGAGTTTTGTTTAGGTCCTTTCTTTTTCAAAGTGGGGCCTGACAAGGAGCTTGTGCTTGTGATTAAACAACTGATTTCTCTGCTAGTTTCCATGTTCGCGATTCTGTAGGCTTAGAAAATCTCCCTCTTCACAAGTGTTATCATAGAAACAACACAGAAAACATCAAGGCCAGCACAGCTCCCCTCACCTTGTGAGTAAGCTAGTGAGTAAGTGAAGAGACAATTAAGACATCCCACTCATTTCCTGGTCCCTTCCAGCATAGCACTGAGCCAAAACACATAATTTGTGACATTAGGTACCTTTAAAAAAAAATCATGATTTTAATTACTGCCCTATTTCATTATTTACCTTTTTTTGAGTCGGGATTTTACAGTATAGTTCTAGCTAGTCTGAAAACCTCTGTATAGACTAGCATTAAGCACATGTGCCACCATGCTCAGTATCCTTTTTGCCCATTTTCATTCATTTCTGTTCTTTTTCCTTTTTTATTTGAGACGGGACCTTACTGTGTATCCTAGACTGGCTTCAAACTTTCTTGCCCTGGTCTTTAGCTTTTGGTTTTTCCTGCGTCGACTTTCCCGATAGCTTGGGTTGCAGGTGTGAGCTGCCATGCATGTCATTACTTTTAGTGGCCTCCATTGATGATGTCTACACAGATACCCCCAAAGTACATACAGATTATATTAAATGTAGAAATAGCAGAATGAATAATTTTTTTCATGAGCCCTACAATGGATGTGTGAATATACGTATTTTTTTTTTTTTTCACATTTCCTATGTGAAAACACTTGGAGCTATTTTTGGCATTGAGATTCTATACATACCTTTTATAAATGGGCGCCCCCTTGGTGGAAGCTGTAACTGAACTCTGGTTCCTTGAGAAAGACAGATAAGTACTGATGCTACTTTCCCTTTATCCCTCCCACTAACCTCCAGCTCCTTTAATCAAGTTATCAACAAGCATAACTATAAAATTTGAGAAGCTACCAAGGCAAATGAATTGTTCATTTGGTAGAAATTCATTAAAAAGAGAACCTTACTAATAGTACTATTTAAATATACGTCCAACCAACAATCTCCTTCCCTCAAATTACATTCAGCATTTGAAGCTATTTCTAGCTTGCCGTCAGCATTATTCTGTAGGCTTGTCAGTGTTAAATGTTTTGTTTATTTTTGTTTTTTTTTTTAATGCCTTTTAAAGTCTAAGGCAGGTAAATTCATATGCATATTAGAATATGTATTTTGTAAATTTTTTTGATTTAGAGAGATGGTTGTAAATTATCCATTGTTTTTGAGTATACCTAATTTGTGTGATACCATTTTCATTGTCTTACTATAAAGCCTTGATGATCAACATGGGGGAGGCAGATACTGTAAAGGTTTTGTGAACTTTAAAAATGCAAAATAAAGCAACCAATACTAAATATTTAACTTGTCTTCTCTCCTTCTCCCCATGCATGTGTGACTAAAGAGTAAACTTTTGTATTCTCTGCCTGCATGATAACCCTTTATGGTTCAGTTCACCTCTCAACAGCTGGCTAGAAGAGGAGAACTGAGACATTATGAGCTTTGTTGATTCAAAGAACTTAAAGACTGAAAAAAGTCCTTCATGAGAGCTGTCACTCTGCAGAGCAAGGACCTTGCTATTTTTGTCACTCTTGTTCTGAGCACAGCTGGGCATGTTGAGGATATTGTCAACATAAAAGTGTCTCCACCTTTGAGTGAAACGTGACTGACTCCTGGGTCTTACAGAAATAGAAATTATTCAGACTGAGAAGTTTCAGAAATTCAGAAGGAAATGCAATAGTGAACGGTCAGCATGCACCTGTGTGGCCATGGTCAGGTTTCACTGCTGTGACAAGTACCTGAGAGAAACGGAGGAAGGGATGGAGAGCTGGTTTATTTTATATCGTGGTTTCAGGTGTGTTAGTCCACTTTCACTGGGCTTCACTCTTTCTGAATCTGTGGTGAGGCAAGACTTCATGGTGCGTTTGTGGGGAACTTGGAGCAGAGCTAAGTTGCTCACCCCATGGCAACTAGGAAGCATGGGGTAGGGGTGCAAGATGTCTACACTTGTGGGCCTCTTCCTTCCTCCTGAGCCTCTAGACACCACATTGAGGGAGTATCTTCACCCTTAATGTCACCTCTCTAGAAGAAGCTTCATAGACATCCAGAAGTGTGCTTTTCTAATAACCCACTAGATGTGTCTCAGTCCTGTGACGCTGGTGGTAATAAGTGACTTGATACACAATGAAGAGTGTGAAGGAAATGAGCTGAAGACGGAATGTCCAAGTCTAGCTGTGTGTGTGCATGAGCACAGGGAAAGAAACTTGATGATAATGGGAAGCCTTTGAAAATCTCCCCTGCTGAGGACATCAGGTCATGTGTACCTGTTAAACCCTTCTCCAAACCTTTGAATAAAGTGTTTGGTGACCCTGTCCCACCAAGAACAGGAAAGCTCTTTCAAACCTACCCTCTCCACCCTTTCTCTACTTTGCCTGTCTAAAGATTGGGAGGTGTCTGCTGCAGTGACTTCCTGTACATAAATTAGCTTATATTAATTATACCTAATAAGTTTATTTTTCCTATATATATAATGCATGTTACTCATATTTTTCTCATTACTCCCTATTTTCCTGCTTCTGCTGATCCCTTCTCAACTAGTGTGAGGGAAAATTAATAACTAAAAGATATGGGAGTCCCAGATTTCCCCCAGCCTCCCAGGACCCCTGAAAGTTTGAGCACCTGGCCAGGGTGAGTGTTCTGTCTGTCAGTCTGTCTGCTTGACTGTCTATCTAAAAAAATATATAGAGGAAGGTTCTCGTTCTGGTCCAGCAGTGGACATCTGTATCTATATACAGTAGCACCTCAGTGGACGCACTAAAGGGGGTCAGACCTGGAGAATTTGGGGGGCACCTCAAATTCTCATCTAAGCAGGGATCCAGCCAAGGGCTGGATTAACCTGCCATCTGAGGGTGAAGACTCGGTCAAGGACTGAGTCACTCTACTGGGAAGGCCATCTCCCATCTGTACTGTGTTTGGCATTATAGACCCTCCTGTGGAAACAGGGGAGTCGGGCCATCTGAACCCGAGAGAACCTCGTATATGTAAGTCTCTGTGTTGGGCCCTTTGTTCACCTATGGCGTTTATTTGTGTGGTGTATTTTTCCTTTGTCTTTCCTCTACGGATGCTACCCCAGACAAAAATTAACATAGGACAGACCTCTTCCTTCCCTATGTAAAGTCATAAAATTTCCTGCCACATCAGCTCCCAGGCCTGGAAGTTACAGCCTGGTGACAAAGCAGAACACCAGGGTGAACAGCACCCAGCCCCTCCCTCCCCTGCGCAGGTGGCAGTGGCTGCACATGGGCTGCAGCGAAAGTAATACAGGTACAGGGGGTGGCGAGAGCAGGGGTTGATGGGGGGATGACTTTGATAAAGATTTTTATGTCAACTAAAAAATGAAGACTAACAAAATAAATGGTATATAGATATAATGGCTATGTGCAGGCTTGGTACAGTCTGATACAAAGAAGACAAGATACTATAAAACAATGGATGTAAGAGATAGGTCAAATAGGGCTGCAAATTCAGAAGTCCACAAAACACACCAAAGCAGCACAGAGAACATTGGAAGGAGCTTCAAGTGTTAAAAGTATAACTCTATTTCTCTGGGTAATAAAATATGAAACAGAAGAAAGGATTGACCAGACCCCCAAGTAGTAGTAGCAGTAGCAGTAGTAGTAGTAATAATAATAATAGGAGAGCTGGTAAACCCCAACAGGAGTCAACAGTTGAGAGAATGGTGAGTGCAGAGAGGCTCAAGATTTAAAGGGAAATTAAAAAAAAAAAATGTACTTGTTAAAATGTTCTGTGTTTTCTGGTATAAATAAATGTAAGTTTTGTTAAAAACAGAGCTAAAACAAAAATAATTTAAATATTTATACTGTCTAATGCTAACAGTAGTCAGTCATTTATAGATATAGCTCAAAATTTATCTCTGAGCTCTGGTCATTAAATTCAGATAAAATTGTTTTATGGCTAAATCTGTTAAAAATTAAAGCTAAAAGGTTAAAACTAGTAACACTGAGAATTAGTAACATAAGTTTAACAGTCATCCAGGTGATAATGGTTTTACAAACATATTATAAAAAGATAAGTTAGTAGCCATTCTTATATATAAACTGTTGGTAATAATCAAGCTATGTATTAATAATTAATAATGGGGACAAACTTTACTCAGTCACCTATATGTTTTCAAAGGTTAAGCTTAAAACAAGTAACTAAAAACAAAGTTGTCTATTCAGATCTACCTAGGCAGACTTCTAATACTACAGAGATCTACAGAATATGACATTTACAATGTTAACTTAGAAGCTTATATCAGACAGAGAATCCCAGATCCTGACAGTGACCTAAGGTCTCTAAAGAAGATTAAGAGGCACCACGGATTGTGACAACACTGATCAGTGAGCAAGATGCTCAAATGTGATGCCTGCTGCCAGGCAGGGCCCGGCTTAGACTGTGGTCAAGCTGCAGGGTACTGGAAAATTGATTGTACCACCTTTGCCTAGACAGAATAAGGTCAGTCTTCTCCATGTCCCTCTTCCACAGAGAGAGAGAGAGAGAGAGAGAGAGGAGAGAGACTCTCTCACTTTATGGACTGAGCAAAAATTTACTTCTGCCCCCAACACTATAGAGACTTGGTTTTGGCTAACTGTATATAGACTGGTCCCTGTCATTTTTAATAGATTCAAAAGTTACATAAAATTTATCCTCAGATCTCTGGTAGTATTGATGGCTAGGCTAGCCATAACTTTCAGTTTGGCAGTATTAGGCTGCCTTAATATGGTTCCTAAATAAAATTCTAAAAATATAAAGACATATAAGTCTTAAAGATATAAAATAATTTAAAATATAAAAATTCAGAACTTAACATTTAATAATGTTATGATAAGCTAATACAATGGTGACTACCTGCTATTCAGTCGCAAGCTCAAGGTTTTATAATTTATTTTGGTTTTCATCTAACTATAAATATAAAGGGCTTTTCATCAGGCCTAAGGTACCGCTGTCCAATCCATACCTGGCTCTCTCTAGACAGAAAAAAAAAATTGTGCAAGCTTCTAACCCAAATCTATAGTTTTTGCTAGGACACAAAGGTATAAGTATATTCCTGCTGTTTTACAGATACCCAATTTCTACTTTTTCTATAATATGGATTTCAGTACAGATTGGTAATGATAATATATCTAAAACATTTTGTCCTTTTATATAATAAAGTTCATATACGCTTCAGAGGATCAAAAGTCATAAAACTTGGATCCCCTTCTCACAGGTCAAAAGGACTCCAAAAGTACAGCTTTTGTTATCTCACCTGGCTGTTCCTGAGGATGGGATTTTCTCCCTGGTCTTGGGACTCCTGTTTTTCTTGATCACTAAAATTTTGGGCCTAAGAGTTCCCATTAAATATATAAGTTTTAACTTCTGTTCCCAGTTTAAACATGACTCAACAGGTTTCTGCTTCTGGCTGATGAACATCAATTACTGACTACAGCCTGCTCCTAAAGACTGCTAGCCTTAGACTTGCTGTGGATGTGAATCAGCCCAGCTGATGTGAATCTTCAACAGAGTCTGCGAACTAATGTCTCTGATAAACATTCCATTTCCTAATTCCCCCTCCCCCTTTTCTTTTTTACCTTTGACTAGCACTTCAGCCTTCTCGAGCCCCAGACAACACCCCCAAAAGTCAGCTGGAAGTAGCACAGAAAAAATATGTCGTCCTTTTTGCCTGGTTGAGATGCTAACATATATAGGGGACAAGATGACTAACCTCTACTCCAAAACCCACCAGAAGTCTTAACTACTAGAGACCCAAGATTGGGCGTCTAAGGTTCATAGCAAAGGGGGGAATGTGAGGGAAAATTAATAACTAAAAGATACGGGACTCATGGCAAGAAGGAAAAACCAGAAAGAGCAATAGATAACTCCCTGACTGGAGAGTACATTCTCCCCCGCTCTCCATTATCTTAAGGACAAGGTCACTGAGCACGCCGGGGTTCTAAAGAACGAAAACCCCCTAACCTTGCAGGTGCGCTAAACAATCCTGCCTTGTAAAAACTTTGTACTCTATGAAATCTCTGTAACCTTGGAAACCTTATGGGTTGAGACTAGCAGTCTCAAACCTTCCTTTCCCTTTAAAAACGCTTTGCAAGAATTCGCACTTCTGATAGTGAAGTCTCAGCCAGTTCAGTTCTTAGCAATAAAAACCTTTTGCTTTTGCAGTCAGGAGTCACTTCCTTGGAGGTTGAGGAAGCCTGGTAGGCACAACACTAGTCTTTCCTCTGTGTGTGCATGTGCGTGTGCGTGTGTGTGTGTGTGTTTTGGGGGGGGTAGGAGGCGGCAGGGGGCAATGACTATTATTAG